GAGTATTATGAAGAGCTCTCACTATCAAGCTAGTATATGTTCTGTTTGTATCCATCAGTCTAGCTAAGTTAATATTTCTCTTGATTATAATAGCATTTATCTCTTCATCTATCAACTCTGATTTAGTGAAGATGGCTCTAGATGTTTCAGTACCTATAGGTGTTGTTTATACTTCTGCGAGATCTCATTTAATATGTTTATGAAGCTTGAAATAGGTTTTGACCCTAGTCTTCATCTTGGTCTTATAGATATGGATGTTTTGAACTGTTTCATATCTCTTGAGATGTTTAGCTATATAACTTCTGGAAACCTTTTGATTTAGATCAATTAGACTGACATGTCATATATCAAATCTATTTTCCTCTTTGAATTCTTGAAAGATTTTTCTGTTTTTTTTTCTTTTGATTGTGTGAGTAGAACGTGGAGTATAAGGAGTTATGTTTTGAATAGTAAAATTATCCTCTTTGTAGTTTATTTCTTCTATGCATTTTAGGACATCCTCTTCTTCTTGTACCTAAAAGGTCAACCATTCGTTTTTATTAATAAATTCTTTTTTTAAGAGGTATCTTTCTCTCTGTGATAGTTTCAGGATATTGCTTAGGTAGGCCTTGGCTTCTTCTTCTGTTTCTCCTGGAATATTGGCTATCATGATATCAAGTCTATATATTCCTTCTCTTCCTATAAAATATGAGTTTATCGATAGAGTAAAGTTCCTGTTTCTCATGTCATATGAGCTATAATCACTGATGTTGTTGCCTTTTATTTTCTCTTGAAGCCTTTGTATTTTGGCCTCTTCTTGTTCATGAAAACCAGTCATTGTGATTTCATTATCTATTATTGACTCAGTATCTACATGTTCAGTGATCTCCATTGGTTGACTTTTTGGCTCCTATGGATCACTTGCATTTTTGATAATTTCTATAAATTTGTCTTTTATGTAGAATTGTAGAAGATCTTCTTCTTTTCCTTTTTCTTGTTACCAGAGATATAAGATATGTTGAGTTAGGATCCGTTCCTTATAGAATATTGTTTTGTCTATTCTTAGGATGTTAGCAATAATACTATCTAGGATGGTAAAAGTCTCTGGTACAAAAGTTGTTTCTTCCTTTGGATCTCCTTCTTTTTGTCTTATCAACTGTTGGGATGCCTATAGTTTTGAGATTTTGTCATGCTTTCTTGAAAGCTTAATTAAGGTATTCAAGATATCCTCTCCCTTTTATTTACTATATGAAGAATAAGTTGTGTCCTATTTATGTTGGCTATGTCACGTGATTATTGGAAGAGTCACGCTTCACGAATTAATTCTGTTTATTTGTTTACTTATTTAGATAGTATTACTGGGGTTCCCTAATCTATCTATTGTACTAGTAGATCAATTGTGGGGTAAACATGAGTTGCAAGTTGTTTATCTGTTTATTTGTTGATTTCAGTAATATATGTGTTGGGTCTATTAAGGAGTAAACTAGATGTGAAGAACGTGTTTTGTGATTAGCTAGAATATGTGTTGAGCTTGTTTATCTGTCTAAAGATATGTCACGTAATCTATTATTATATCTCTATTGTCTAAAGGGACGTATTCATGTTTGCATTACGTATTAGTTGTTTATGTGTTGCTAATGTATTGTTACTAATAATCTCTAGCTATTATTCTTGGGTTCCTGATGTCCTCTTGGGTCTTACAATTTTTGAGTTTTGACTGGTTTACTGGTTGAAATTACTATATTACTAGGTTCCTTCTAATATCTAGAAAGGTGTAAATCTGTACTGACCTGGTTGAAGCTAGGAGAGTTGATGTTGGGTCCCTTGGTTTTACTATGATTCAGATTTACTTTTGTTTTCTCTTTCCCTCAAAAGTTAATGGATAAAGTATTAATAATGTTATTATATACTCTTCTTTTGGTGGCTTGTTTATAGAGCTTTATGTGTTGTTCCAAGTGAAGTGATGTAGTTATGTTTCTTTTTACTGTGTTTTGCTGAGCTTGGATTGTATTATTCTTTTTTTCTAAAAATTACCAAAAAAGGAAATTTTTTTTTAAAAAAGTAGATCAGTGGAAAGAACTTTTTTAGTCTGGATTTTTAGTCTTTTTTATTATTTTTCTCTTTTTAAAAAGAAAAAATTTATATAGTAGAAGTTAGTAATTTTTGTAAAACTTACTTCTTCTGTACTCTGTAAAGAGTTCTTGAACTTGTTTTTGTAAGCTGTTTAGTTGTAAAGGTGGTTTCTCTTATTTTTTTTTTGCTGATTTCACTTTTTCTCAAAAAATTATCAAAAAAGAAAATTTTTTGAATAATTGAAAATTAGCTGAAAGAGTTTTTTTTTAAAATAGTTTAATTATAATATACGTATATATATATATACTGTATATTTTAATTCTCTATCAAGTTAGTTATATGTATTTTATTAAACAATTATAGGTTATATAATGATAAAACTAAATCTCTAACTAACTTACTCAGCAAAGTTTTTATTTAAAACTCTAAATACAACTTTGAAAGTGATTTATTGTTCTATTAATAGTTTGGGTAGAAATCCTTTCAACTTCTAATTTTATTGTCTACAGATTATTATTGCAAATTACTTTTCAAAAGTTTGATTATAATATATTGTATATTATATTACTTAATAAATAAATAAATATATTTTTAATTAATTAATAAATTACAATCTAGTTTGACTATAGTTATTACAATAAATGCATAAATAGATAATTAATATATAAAAATATATAAAAGTAAATTTATAAATTAAATATATATCAAATAAAATTAAATAAAAATTAAAAATAAATATATAATTAAATAAATTATCATATTTTAAATTAATATAGATATATTAACAATATAAATTATTTTACTATTTTAATAAAATATATTGAATAAATATAGATTAATTTATAAATATTCTTAATAAATATTTTTTAATAGATCAGATTTAATAAAAATAAAAAAAATAAGTTTATAACTATTTCATATTTTTTGAAATAATATTGTTATAGCAATATGATAATTAAAATAATAATAATAATAAATGTTTATGAAAAAAAAATAAAAATTTAATTTAAAATATATTTGCATATTTTTGATTAAAATTATAAAAATCTGATTTCAAATACATAGTACTTAAATATTATATACTGTATATGTATTTATTATTCTTTTTTTTTTATTCATAATTATTTGCTATATATATCTTTATTAAAATACATAAAATATTAAAATATTTTATTGACTATCACAAAGTAACTAACTTGTTATTATATATTATTGATTAAATAAATATACTATTTAAATAATATGAAAAGTCTACTAAACTAGTTTGAATTAAACAAAACTACAGTAAGTCTCAACTAAGTATTCTAAGTCAGATTTAAAGAACAATATTATACTTCTCCAGTAGTTTAATAATGATCTTTAACTATTGAGATTATTGTCAATAGTTTGTTATTATTGATTATTCCAAAAAACAATAAATTACTAAAATAATTGAAAAAAAAAATAATAAAAACAATTAATAACACTTTCAAAAGGTTTTTTAATTCATTAATTGATCTTTTTTCAAAAAAATTTTACCTAATTAGGCTATTCATCATGTTTCACTTGAGCTTCAAAGGGATTTTTTTTTTATTATTATCTATGAAATTATATTATTTAAGCAAGTACTAAATTAGAATATTTCAAGAAAAATAAAAACTTTTATCTTTTTTTTCTTAAGAGTTTTTTTACTATTTGAGAAACTTAAATGAGAAGAGGAGTCTGATTAGTTATATTATTTCTCATAATGTCTTTTGATATTATAACTATTTTATTGAAAAACTTGCTCAGTTGGATGTAAAAATCTTTTAGAACTTTCTTTCATATTATTATTAATGTTATCAAATCATATGATTATAACCAATAGGAGCTTATTTACTTTACTTTTTTAACAATTAATATGTTTCATACTAGTCAATTATATTTGATAAGAATTTGTATAATCTAAAATTCAAGATTAAATTAAGGTAGGCAAAATTTTTTAAAAAACTGTGAAAGTAGAAGTTTTAAGAGAATCAAGATAGTTCAAAAGAGAGAAAATAAGCCTTTTAACTATAACAAATTTTTATAAATCTCTTATTCAAAAGATTAGAAGAATCTTTAGATACTTTATAATTAGTTCTTCTTTCTTTGAAAATTTTTTTATCATTGGTATCAAAATATTATTTGACTTTTCTTGGCTACTAGAAGTCAAGTTTTTGATAAAAAGGATTGTTAACAATAGGAAAAGGGTAAAAACAACTTTTAAAGCCATACTTCAAGTTGTTTTAAGAAAAGTGCTTGTTAAGACTTTATTAACAAGAAAGTATAAAAACTTTTTGCAAACATCTTTTTTGTATATTATCAAAGAATCAACAAGAGTTTTTTTTTTTTTGACTTATAATTCTTTTCAAAATAATAAATTTAAATTTAAATACATTATATATATAATATATATAGTATTACTTAATTGTTACTTCTGAATATTATTCTGCAAATCATTATTAGATTTATATTATAAAAAGTAATGTTTATTTCTAGAAAAATGAATTTAAAAGTTTATTAAAATATTCTTATTTTTTAATATAATTCAAAAATCAAACTATTATTAATAAATTAATAAATTATCAAGCTACAAAATAAAAAACATAAAATAAAGAATTTTAAATCATAAATATATAATAAAATAAAGTATATCAAATATACCTTGTTAATAAGAAATTTGTAAAAAAAAAAAAAAAAAAAAAAAAGATAAGGATAAAAGAAATCATTTACCTCGCACCGTTATACTGTATCAAAAATCCATATCATTAACACTTAACTAATTTTGCATATGTTGAAAGTTACAACTTTCAATTTATTTCTTGAACGTAAAATACTGTAACATGAACTGTTCCAGATATCCGTCAACGGAATTCACCAAGCTCGAATAATCCACATGATATTACCCATGAGCAAATAAATATTGCATACGTTGAAGTATTATAAAATTATTTTCTGATATCAATTTTTGTCACCAAATCTTGACCTAACCTTTCCATTTCCAATGCGACAGCTCTACTATTTAATATGACCAAATTTGAATCCTGATTGTCTTTATTGTCGTCGGATGGAATCTGTAAAGTACAGTAATGCAAATTTCAATTTAAATTGTAGCCGTAAAGCGAAAGATCCCACATATAAGATGATCTCACCTCGTCTTTTTCCTTTGTGTTTTTTGAAGACACCATCATACTTGAAAATCCCAAATTAACTTTCCACGGCCTTGGGGTAAAAAAAACGGGTTTCCATACCACCCCAATAATGTTTCCACCATATTTGTCATGAAAGAATAGTGCTACATTTGAATATAAACCCTAAATAACAAATTTGTATATTTCATTATTAAATAGTGCAAGGAACGAGTATAAGTACAAATTCAGATCATGTTGCTAAATAGAATCATATGCACGTACCCGTAACTCATCCATGTACCATTCCACCGGGTCAAATCCAATCCATTTATTCTTTTCTGCATGAGATCGATTTTTACTCCAATCCTTGCTTATCATCTGTTTAAGGAGACTTCTTTTTTCAACCGAGACATTTTGGTAATATCGTGGACAATTGGTGGGATCAAGAAATATTAACACATCATAATCGTTCATTGGTGTTATAAATAGACTCTAATGGAGAAATGATTACTGGTTACTTGTATTTTAGTGTGTGAAAGATAACAAAGGCTGCAGGAGTCACCTTAAACTCTGCTATTTCCTTGTCCATAACATTGTCGGCACAAGCAGTTGCAGCATTGGCCAAGTCTAAAATTCTCTGCGCGACAACTTTACAAGGCTTCTCCATACCCCATATTTGCCCAGAGGTGGTTGTTATAAATAATGTTGCACGTTCATCCATAGGGTTATCCCTGATTCTCCGAAACTTTTCTCTAACCTCCTCTATTATACTACTCGTTTCATCATTATATGATAATGCATCTCCACGATGGTTTTCTCCTAAATCAACGATCATGGGTTCATTCTTCCAATCCCAAGTACTAATTATATTCAAAACACGTAAAAATCCGACAAAGCCCGTAGCAGGTCTAGACCAGGGTTGCGGTTCCAGATAAACGAAAGCACACAAGACCTCTATAAACTCCTCATCAACATGTGCCTCTAACAAATGCACCATAAACCATCGCTTCGCAAGTCTAATAGTCAGCGACAAAGAAGGATACTTGTTGCATAATGTCTGAATTTGAGAACTGTGCAATGGTAGATCGATGAATAGTCTTTTATCAACCTCTAACGCATTCTTGAATACCTCTTTCTTCTTTGGCGAAGATACTTTATCTTCAATCACACGTTTTAACATTGAAATCTCGCGTTCATAGTATATTCTACATCTAAACGCAAATCCCGAGGCAGTGAATATATCCAAGTAGGATTTAGGCGATATTATCACATCGTGATCGTTCGTTACTATCGATACTTTGATGTCAGGAAGTTTGGCTTTTAATTGCTCGGAAATATTAATATAGAATGCCAACTTCATTTTTTGAACGGCTACGAGGTCGTTTGGCCATCGTGTTGAAGATTCAAATTGGATCTGAATTTCTATTGGTTCGATATATTGCAAACTCATTTGAACATTTTGACGGGATAAAAAATATTGTCTGAGCCGACTGGGTTTCTTTTGTTGCTGGTGTGGTTGGGGAACGAATACCGAAGCATATCTTAACTCTGGGCTCGTTGCTTTTACGCTAGATATCCTGAGAGGAATATCTTCTAAAGATAATAATTGCTTCGTTAACTCATAATATGCGGTCATCACTGGTTGAAATCCTTTAACGACAATATCTAGATCGAAGATATGTTTTGGAACTGCCGGAGACGGTATGACGAATTTATTCAGCTGCCCAGCAAAATATCGAATTCCTTCTTTACCGTCTTTGATCCCAAAGTGGAGTGAAAGTAAATAGAGAACTATTTTGTTGACAATCAAACTACGTGTTTCGATTCTTTTATACTCCCAGACCACACATTCCAGTATCCTCCCATCCTTAAATCGTCGCACTTCGGCTTTTTTGCCCCACAACTTTTGAAATTCTTTTGCCGCCTTTTCATCTTCAGGCGAAGGACCATAATCAACCGACCGGTTTGACTGTTCAGGATTAAATACAAATCCAAAATATAATTTCGTTTTGGTCGATGTATAGGTCCTTGGGGATTCGGAAGTTGACCAAGATGGTAGCTTATCATAATTTATTGCAATGAGGTCGACACGATCGGTGAGCCCTCGCTTCAGCAGATGCGGTATCGTTCGTGCAAAATAAACAAACTTATCGGGGTAATCCAATTTAACAGAATTCGTGTATTCAGAGTACGTCTCCGGTAATTGAGCTAATCTAAAGATAAAGTAACATTTTGTTATGCGGATTGATTTGCATTATTTAAACGGGACAGATAAACTTACTTTGCAACATTATCATATCTTAACTTCATGTCGTCAACTTTTTTTAAGAACAAAGCCTCGAACCGATCTTCTACACTTTCATTGAAGAACTTCATTGCCAATCTCGCCTCAAATTGCAACTACAGTACATAGATGATGATCGCAATTAGTCTCTCGGTAATTTCATAAAATTCATTGAAGATGTAGTCTCTCACATGTTCGAGCGCTGTCCTCGACATCTCACTGAACAAGTTCAACGTGCCAGAATTGTCAACAAACACGACATCGAAATTCTCTGTGAACAATTTTTTAGAGAACTGAAGATATTTAACGGCATAGTTATTTAATGAACATGATGACATCATAGATTAAACGTTTAAAAATAAACACAGAATCTCACCTCTCCTTCCTCCGAAATTTCCGACTCATTCATAAATAAAGGTGACTTTATAAAGTCGTGATTCGCTAAGGATCAAATCATGTGTTAACCATATAAACATAAAATGTGTACTAAAAATATCATTATTTACCCAAAAAATCCATTGTTCCCTTAATTAGTTGATAAGAGCTATATTCGTTGGACAGTTTCTTATCACCATTTGGACCTCCACCGTGCAACAAATAGGTCATTAGCATTGACCAAAGGAATCCATTAAAACCACTTGAACCGCTTTTCTCAGACTCAAAACCTCTTTGATACAGCCAAACTTTTGCCAGTTTACAAGCGTCGACGAACGCAGGACAATCTTTTGTCTGATTATACAAAAGGTTTAGGTGTGAGACATAACATGAATCCTTCAGTATAGCAGAATTGTAATGTGGTGTCGGTGGTAACAATTGAGTTCGATTTGATGGCTCTTCGGTGTTCTGATCACGAGAAAAACGAACGTTATTCCGAGAAGGCGACAAGCGTTGTGGAGGAAAAAAGTCCTTCGGAATGCAAGGAATTATGCGTATAGCACAATTCGATATTAAATCATCTGCATAACAATATCAATACATTAATGGTTATGCAAGCTTGACACTCAATATAAATCCATATTAAACGCACCATCAGTGAATTTAAGCCGTATAATAGGTCGACGCCTATCCCCATCTAATGTGTCAAATTTAACTTCCGTATCAAGTCCCGAGGACTTATCCTGAAGAACGGCCGCCAACACTGCCAGATAGTACGCCCTTTTGTAGAAGTAACGGTTATTCATATAATCCTTCTCCTGGAATATTGACTATTGTTTACAAAAGAATGATAATAAAAAAAATTAAATGTTTAAATAACTAAATAAATCTTGAACACAGTTTTAGTCAAAGGGATTTTACCTGAGGCATTACGACCACGACATCAACATTAAAACCATAACGTCCCCGAATTACACTTCTCAGCGGATAGCTACCAACAAGATAAAAAGTTGTCGGCCTCTTAAATCCAAATTTATATTGAATATCATCTGGAGGTTGAGGATCCGGAAATGGAATTACGATATCATGTTTCTTAAAAAGGATCGATTTCGCATTCTCGACCTTAATTATTTTTAGGTAAGGGATGTTAAATCGATCTTTTATTATGACAATAACGAATTCACAATCTGAAATAGATTAATTATAGAATACCGTCAGATCCAGTTTATCGTTCATGTTCTCAAAAATTTGTTTTAACTTATTCAACGTGTTTTCTAATTTCGAAGTTTTTGTGAAATCAATGCTTATTTCTGACAAAAGTTCATCAATCTAAAATTAAATCCACAGGTTAATTTATTTATAATTAACATTATAATATGAGAATGTTAAATACCCTACTTGAAGTTTAAATATATTCGATTTAAACAAATCAGTGGTTTCCCTCAACCCTTGTATTTCCTCATTTGTAGGTGGTTTGTGTATAGACGACAATGATTTGTTGACCATTCCTTCATGCTCATTCTCTTGCATATCTTTCATTTCTTCGCCTTCCATTTCTTCTTCCACCATCATTTCTTCATCTTCTACTTCAACTTCTATTTCTTCCTTCGCTACTCCATCCTTTATTCTTTTGTCTTCTTTCGTTAAACCGCCATTTGTCCCCCCGTCTTCCGTCTCCACATCATCCATACCATTAATTCCTTCATTTTCATCTTTCTCATTTTCCTTTACTTCTGTTAGTCCTCCTGGTATTTCTTCCACGCGAACACCACTATTCAACGCTGTATTTGTGAGTGTCTCAATGTCATGTATGGGATCCAAATCACTTCCATCCTCTTCTAAATCCTCCCCGCCATCCGAATCAACGTAATCTGGGTCGTCATCTTCATTATACTCCTCATCAAATCCAAGACTCTTTCTAAGATTATTAACCCAAGATGTATGCCAATCGTAGTCGTCACTCTCGTCACTTTCTTCCTCAGATTCTAACAAATATGTCGCTGTGGTCGTTAAAGTGGGCGAGAAGGTAACACGTTTCTTTGGCCGTGGGTTCCCTACGCTCTATATGACGAATGAAACAGTAGTTAATGTAAACAATTATGAAAACTACGTGAAATAAAGAATTAGGCAAAAATTCGCATACATTTTCTTCATTTTCTTCTATGAAAACCGTAGAATTGAATTTTCTTTTGCGGCTTCTGTTCGTCATGTGTTTCTTCTAAAAGCGACGCGATCACGTTGAAAATAAGATAAAAAAAGTCGTAGTTTACTTGAATGAAAATTTTTCGTGATTTTTTAGATCTATCAAAATTTTAAATCACGTGAACCACGTGTTAGGATAGACGTCGCGTCTTCAAACTACAGTGTATTGATCTCGCGGAAAAACAATAGTAAAAATAATTTTTAAATTTTCAAGTGTTTTAAATTTTGTATTTCTATAATAATAGTAAATAATAATTTTAATCAACTGGTTTAATAAAGTTTCTAGATATATATATATATACTGTATATTTTTATACCCTCTGTCAGGCTAGGTATGTGTGCTTTATTAAACATATGTATACTTTACATTAATAATGTATCGCTAAAGCTAAGTCTCTACCTAACTCACTTGTCTCTATTTTAAGAATTATTAAAACTCTAAATGCAACTTTGGGAGTGATTTATTGTTCCATTAGCAGTTTAGGTAAAAATCCTTCCAACTGTTAACTTCATTGCCTGCAGGTTACTACTGTAGATAAAATTTCTAGATATAGTTTATTTTAAATAAAATTATAAAACAAATATTAAATAGAAAATTTTATTATACAGTATATTATTTTGTAACTTTTATATTAATTATTTTATACTATATATAAAAAAAGTCAATTTAACTTATATATTTCAAGAATTATGATATGATACTAGACTTGTTTGTCAAAACTATAGTTATATAATTCAAAATTATTATAAAAAAATCAATCTGATTATATAAAAGATTACAAAATACTTCAATTATTTATAATATTAAAATTACTTATTCTTAATGGTCAAGTAAGTTTTTTTGATTCTTATAAATATATAGAGATTTGTTTTATTTCTATAAAAACAAATAAAGTGAATAGAAGATTTTTTCTAATCAATAGGTTTTTTATTCTTAATTTATGATTTATAAAAGAACTATAAATTAAAAACCTTTATCAAGACTTTCAATATAACTTTTTTTAAATATAACTATCTAAATTATCAATAATACTTATTGTTAATAATTACAATAAATCAAATTGAATTAAATTTTAATTAGACTTAATTCAATTTAATTTTTATAAATATAAATTAAATTCAAATCTAATTTAATTTAGTTCAATTCAATTTAAATCTGTTTTTAATTCATATTTAATTCAATTTATATTTGATTTGATTTAACTTAATCAAATTAAATATGTTTAAATTAACTTGACTTGATTTTAATAAAAAATTTTAACTAATATATTTTTTTCAAAAATATTTTTTGACTTTAAATTCATATGTATATTTAAATTTTTTAAAATATTTTTTAACTTTTATATTTAAAAATTTTTATTTTATTAAATTTAAATTAATGTATTTATTTTATTTATAACCATTTATTTGTTTCTATATTAATATATTTCCCACTATAATTAGTATTTTTTAATATAATTTGATTTTTATTTTCTATATTATTTTTTTCTTTATTTTTTATTATTGATTTTTCAAATATTTATAAAGTATATTAATCTTTTTTTTTTTTAAATACTTATAGTTAGGCTAGATTGTCAGTTTATTAATCAATTAAAAATATAAGTATATTTTCATTCAAGTAGCATAAAATATATACTATAGTTAAACTATTATTTTAATCTAACTAATTTATTATAAGTATAAGTTTTTAAATTTGATCTTGGGGACAATATTTTGCTCTATAATATTTTTGGATAAAAATCCTTTTAGTCTATTGTATCATTGTCAGTAGATTATTACTACTATATATCTAATCAAATTACTGGAATACAGAAAACTATAAAAAGATATGTTGTAAAAAAGAAAAAGAGAATATTTAAAAATATTTAAACAAATAACAAGAAAATAAAAAATAAAAAAGACCTTTTCTCAATAAGAAATACTCAATTGAGATATTTTTTCTTTTTCTAATTATCTAAAGGACTTATTTATTTTGATTTTGATTTTCTTCTTATGTACCATCTAAGAAGACTTATTGCCTAGTAGAAGCATTTACTTCTAGAATACACTTGGTCCCAACCTTTTTTGAATAGAAATTTTTTATTTATCTGTAATAGAGAGATAACTTATAATGAATCACAAATTTTTAGGTGACTTAGTAGAAATTGGACTATATTGTTTTAATATAATATCTTTCAACAGCCATACCTAGTTAAAGGAATTTTACTGATATATATTTTTCATTATTCAAAAAAGCAGATTCCTTAACAATCCTTTTACCTTGTAATAATATGAGGGTTTTAAACAGTAATAGGAATTCTTATTGATTATAATATTCTTTAACAATTTCTAAAGAAATATATTCTCAATTGTAATCAAAGAATTGAAGCTTAACATGAACTAGAAACTGTTTAGTCTTATTGTCTAACTAGAATAAAAAAAAAGATCTTGTTCTTAAATTTTATCTGACTGGAATAATAGAAGAGAACGATTTAAGCTTAAATAAATAATAGCTTTTTTACTATCTGAAAACTTGTTATTTGTATCTTATTGATTTCATAGAACTTGATCTGTAGGTTAACTCAATTGGAGAAGTGGGTAGGACTAGGATATCAATCAACTCTTTTAATTGTTAATGACATCATTAGAATATATATGTATAACCAATATAAGTTTGTTTACATTCTGTTACTAATGTATTTTGTATCAATCAATTAGATACCAGGTGATATTGTGCTATTAGAAATTTAGGATCAAATTGAGATAAACAAAATTCTTCAAGAAAACTATAAAAAACTGTAGATACTTTAAGAGAGTATAAGACTGTATGTGAGAAAGTAAATAATAAGTCTTTCTTTGTTAATAAAATCTCTATTTTTGTTGTTTCTAGCTCTGTAAGGTGATACTTCACTTGTTAATCCTTTTATTTTCTAGAATATTCTTGCCTTTAGTAAAGAAAATATATATTTAAGTCTTTTCAGGTTACTGAGACCCAAGTTTTTATTTAAAGAAGTTTATAAATAAGTAAGAAAAGATAGTAAAAATAAGTAAAGACAAGTTTCAAGTTATTTTAATAAAAGTATAAAAATTTTATTAGCAAGAAAGTATAAAACTTCTTATAAACATTTTTTTTATGTATAGTTAGAGGATCAGTGGAAAGAGTTTTTACACAGTATATTAATCTATCAATAATTAATATATTAATAATTTATATAATTGCTTTTTTATCTTCTCTCTATTTTTTTATAATTGATAATATTTTTTTAATTAAGTTTTAGTACAATTTATAAGTTATATCTTCCATTAGTAATACTGTAATACCATACAATTTATTTTTTAACCAGCAATAAAGAATATTTTCTAATAAAAAATTGTAGCAATTTTAATTTATTAATAACTTAAATTTTTAATATTTTATAATATTTAAAAAATATTTTTTTTTTTTTTTTTTTTTTTACGGGCTCATGCCTAACTTTATTGTTTTTCAAATTACATATATACATTGCACAAAGTACGTACAGGGGTGTATATTCAGTGACTATAAAGATAATGATAAGCTAAAGCTATTTCTAAAGCTATATTAAGGCTTATTGCCCTTTCTTTTACAAAAGAAAAACCAGCATCCCTAGAGCGTGCTGGTGCCTAAAAATAATAATAAAAGAAAAAATAAAATTGAACAGTCATATACTATTTTGGGTGGATATCAGTTTTGTTTCTTGGTCCATGCCTGTCTTGTTCTAAACTCTCTTGTAGAAAGACCTAAAGAAAGATACTTCTACTGAGTCTTTTACGGAAATAAGTTGAAGACCATTAAGGAGACTTTACAGTTTTAAGGCTTGTAGGGAGGGAGTAGTCAGGAAGGCCCAGGTAGTATATTGGTGCCTACATGAGCAACTTGAAAGTTTTTCAGTATATCGTCAATTAAACCCATTCCTATCTAAATATGGAGGTACTTACCCATTTGTACCTCTTATTTCAGATTTAATTCCTTATAAAAAGGATAGCACCTAGCCTTATGATAGACATACCCTGCTGGTGGCCATTGATATTAGTGATCAATGAGGATCTTCCAGATTATCCGGCTGGCTCGCACGTCACTGCTGACATTTTCAGACTCGAGTTTCGATTGGTGAAGTGGCATTAGCCTTCCAGTCTTCTAGCTTGAGATTTTTTGAAAATAGAACGAAAACTTCCTGGGTTACTTTGCGCACGAGCTTTACCACTGAGTATCCTTGATGGCTTCCTGTTTTCTCTGGTTTAGACTTTTTCAGGCAGTAGAGATTAGGAAACCTACCTGCCATGCAATCAGGAATAGGTGGCTCTGACTTGAGAAAAGGTCAATCGAGCATCTTGTGATCTTTACCATGGTCAGACAGACCCTTTTCTTGTATCCAATAATGTATCGGTAGCATGTCCTGTATTCACCTACACTAATACATATGACTTATGGTGAACCCCAGGTTCTTATGGAGCTGAGGAAATGCATTCAGACCCGTGAGGTGGCCAATAGGAGCTTGTTTATCAATCTTGTCCAACATGTTTCATATCATCCAATCATAATTAGTGAGATTCGTGCTATCCAAAATTTTAGGATTAAGCTGGGCTAGGCAAAATTTCCCAGAAAGTCATGAAAAAGGTAGCTCTAAGAGGCTACAAACCCAGTTGAAGGGTAGAAAAATGAATCCTTTGACTGGAATAAAACCTCTGTTATCTCTACTATAGCTGAGAGGTAAGAGGTACTCCACAATTAGTACTTTTCCCTTTAAGAACTTTCTTGCCATTGGTAGTAAAGGTGGGAGCTGAACTTTGCAGGCTACAAGAGTTCAGTTTTATTCAAAGGAGGTTGTAAACAAGAGAGAAGGGAGGTGAGGGAGTTCTGAAAGAATTTTTGAGTTAGTTTAAAGAGAGTGATAAGACTTTATTAGTAAGAAAGTATAATAACTTCTTGCGAACATCTTTTTTGTGTATGGTCAGAGGATCAGTAGAATTTAAAAAATATTTATTAGTTATATAAAAATTATCTTTATT